AGACTATCAACCCTCGGGTGCTCTACCTCTACGAGAAACCGTCGACCCGACGGGCGCTTTACCTCAACGCGAGACCATCTCAACACTTAGCCATAAATTCTCTGATGAATGGACAAGGTTACATAGCGGTTACCACGGGCACAACCTCCAGATGGGAAGTTAAGACCCCCCCCCCCCACTCAGAATGTGGGGATAATGGAAATGCCAATGTGGGGACACGTGGCACCACAACCACCCGGCCCTCACTTGGCTTCTAACGTCTATAAATACCCCCGAGGAAGACACAGGAATAGATGACTGCATTTTTTTAGCCATTTGAATTCTGTCCTTATTTATCCTAACACGTATACTGATTCTCACACTGGAGATAAAACGGTGGAGAAAGCCAGCCCTCACTTTTCAAGTTACACATGCCGTCGGAGTAGCAGGAACGCTAAAGGCCACCAGGTAGATCAAGAGGTATTATTCCACCACCATTTCATAATCTACTACTACATTCATTTCTATTTTCTACATTCAATTTCAATTATTCAATATCAATATGTCAATTACAATTACCAATTTATCACACTACAAATTTACTTACTATACACTAATACTATACATATTCTATACATTTTATCACAAGTTCATAATTTGCAAATGAATCCGCATACATTTGTTAATGGCTTGTTCAGCGGTATTGGAGGCGAATCACCTATGATGCCGCAATGTCAATTTCTGAATGGATTTGTCGATCTCAACGAAATACCAATTCCTGAAAATATTCTAGATTTCAATGATCATGAAAGTAGTAATCTTTGGATAACATTCATGTTCCTGAAACGGAAAATGATGAGGAACATAAATTAGATATTCCTGATACAAGAGATAAGCGAAAGGAGAAAAACAGTCAAAATGTTGGGAATACTTTAAATTAATTCCAATGGGTCACATCATCGATGGAGTTGCAGAATCTAAAGCAGTATGTAAATACCGTCAACAACGATTGGCATAGTAGAAGGGCATTTGTACCACCCATCTGAATCGTCACTACAAAGCATGTACAGCCAAATATGAACTTCTTGCTACCGGCCAAACGCAACTGCAATTTGGTAGTTCTTACCATCGGTGCTACTTCTACGACACTTTGCACGTGGATGTATTCGGAAGAGAGAGCTAGAATAGGAATAGTAAAATTCATTGTTGGTGCTAAGTTCCCTCTAATAATAGCGGACAACCAACACTTGGTCTCCTATGTGAAAGAATATTTTCAACCGAGGTATGTCGGGGTTCATTCCGATACAATAGAATATTTCCTTAATACGCAAAAATAATTGATTACTGATTTGAAAACATATTGGAGAGTTATATCTTTAATTTCGGATATATGGGAATGGATTAATAAAAGAGGTTATACAGCTTCAAATGCACACTACACAGACCCACTTTGGTACATGCATAAAAAAGTATTGTTTTTAAAATTATTGAGTTCCATCACAACGCTAACAATATATAAACACTATTATGAGCATTATTAGGAAATATTACTACAAGTGTAAAATACGTTCTTTTACATTTGACAATGCTAGTGTTAACAAACTAGTTGTCGATATATTGTATAAGGTCGTACAGCCCGATTTCAGTAGTTATTTATATCATATTCGTTGTGTATGTGTGTGTTATATTTTTAAGTTAATTGTGCATGATGCTTTGAAACATATTATGAATAAATTAAAAAAAAATTAGGGATACACTACTATATATCACGATTTCACTTAGTAGAAAACAAGTTTTTGAAGAATTTTGTGACAAATGCAAAAACATTTGTTAGTGATATAGAGTATAAATGGAACTTCACTTACTTGTTATTAAAATTATGTTAATGATCTGAACATTTAATAACTAAATATTATAAATAGGCTTATTCGAAACGATGATGATAATATTTTAAATGAATTTGATTGGCTTTTAACTTTATAAATAAATAAATAAAAAAGATTAACAAATTTTTATGACTCTACAAATATTTTATTTGGAGTGTATTATCCACTAGTTGTATGGTCCTTGAACATCTTTATATAATTGTAAGAGCTTTTCATAAATACTAACATAACTCCGATTTTAGTGAAGTTATATATTTTATAGAATTAAAATTTGGAAAATATTGAAAAGATTTGCCTATATTATTTCCTTTAACATGCATCATAGACCCCGATACAATTTATAAGATACTAAGTATGTAATTGATTAGATTTCAAAAGCTTTAACTTTTAATACTCCTATCACATTAATATTTAGAGCAAACTTTATGTGAAATGTATAAATTATATGCAGAACGAATGGGTGTAAATATTAGTCGAGTATCCTCTATATCTACTCCTCTCGTTGATATTAAAGAAAACGATGCTGAAATATTAAATTTATTTAAAAGCATTAATATGTTCATATACGATGCAAAATGTAATAGGTTTCTTTAGCAGTATTATGTCTACCGCATGTAATCAAATATCGGACGCAAGTCCAAATGCATCACCTATTGAATTAATTGATTATTTTAATTATAATTTGCCTAATAACAAAACAATTAAAAAAGTTTAGAAGAAGTAATTGAATTCTACCGAAAGTACGAACGACAATGGCTAGTGGTTTCTACAATGACAAAAGACATACTAACACCTCCGGTTAGTATTGTAGTTTTAGAATCTACTTTTAGTACAAGTAAAAAGGTTCTTTCCGAAGTCAGAAATCAGCTAAAAGAAGATATTTTAGAAGTATTAATGTGTGTGAAGGACCGGTAAGATGCTCATTTTCGACTGCAAAATAAATATGTCGAAATTTCATCTCATCAAATAGATGATATTTAATTTAACCATACTAATCAAAATTTATTATTTTATAATAATGTTTTTGAAAAATTGTACACATAATAAGTTGTCTGTGTACAATTTTTAATTCTGCCTATTTGAAAGTTAAGTAGTCTGTCCCAAGCCGGATAAAGGAGGAATGTTTTATTTATTACAGAAAAATAAAAAAAAATTTGTGAGCTCACTAGCCGAGCATTATAAAAGAGAGCTCGTGATGAGCACGAGCCAAGCTTGTGGGCAATAGGGCTAAGCCATTAAACAAGGTTCTAAAATGCGTAATGCGTGAAATGCTTTTCGATCGAGTATCAAGCATTTGCGTAATTACTCTTTTTAAAAATTTTAATATTATTTAAATATTATAAACTAATAAATGAATAATATAATGTATTTTTTGAACTTTTACATATACTTCAAATCCAAATATATATACGTGATTCAATTTTTTGAGTTATAAAAATGGGTTGAACTAAATTAATTGCGATTCAATTTTTAACACAAGTGCGTGCGCATTTTAACATTAAAGCGTGCATATGCGTTGACCGTGTTATCACGTGCATACTCCATATGCAAGGCGTTTCGAAAATACATCGAGCATATGCACGCATTTTAGAACACTAATATCTTATTAAATTTCACACATTATTAGTCACATACAAGGACATAACAGTGGTCACGATAACAACTTTCAAATTTTTTGTTGAAAGTGTAACCTTGAGAATCCTTAAGAGTATAGTACCCCGACGTTTGATTCACATTATAAATTGCTTTCACTTTGACCTTTAACGTGACCTTATATATGACCTATAACGTGTTGCTTTTTTTTGCCCTCCAGGGCATATCCAAGTTGGCGGAACAATCACATTGGGGGGTTCTGGAATCAAGTGTGGGGAGTTCGATTCCTGGTTGGAGCAGCCAAGTGATGTAATAACCAGAGGAAGGGTTGGAGCAGCTTGGTGATGTAATAACCATGGAGGAGGGTCCATTTGGGGAAGGAGTAAAAGCCATGTGGGAACCTGGGAACCAACAAGGGCACAACCTGCGATTTACCTCCACTAGTCACTGAGGGGCCGGGGGCTAGAGGTCCAGGATTTAGTCCGGCTAAGCTGGGACACCTGGGTTATCAAAAAAAAAAATATATATATATATATATATATAACGTGTTGCTTTTGTTATTAAGTGGTATGGTATTTAGTACTTCGCTTTGGATTTGGTATATGAAAATGCAATTGTTTAAGAATTTAATAAGAATTGTGACTTTCAAACACCTTGACCTATTGTCAGACTTGCTTTTACATTTGATATTCGGAATTATAATGTTTGAACTATTACCTATATTGTGTCCTCAAATGTGACTTATGGTGTTTGAGATATAAGAAAATTTGAAATGAATTGATGTTGATGATAATTGTGACCTTCGATGTTCTCTACAAATGTCTGGGTAAATTTTATCTTTGCTACTATCGAAATTGCCATTTTTGTCGATTGTAAGTTTTGATTGGATCCCAAGATTGAAGCAATGATTCGAGTAGGACAAAATAGAATGCAATAAATCCCAATCGATGGGAGGGAGGGAGGGAAGATTCTATTAGCTTATTATATTTTCGCGGTGCACAGACAATTTTGGCAGCAGACTGGAGGACTTCATCTTGTAAGGGACGGTGGCATCTTAGGTTAGTGATAATGACATCGTTAGAGGAGGTGGAGATCATCTTGTCATACCTTTTGTACAAGGCTTGAACATACAAAATTTTTGCAATAGTTAGTTAGGCTTATTGGCGCAATACCCCAACGTATGGACCTATTGCCAAATAACTTCACCTTTTCAAATTGGCGAAAAAATTTCAATATGAACTTTGAAGTGTTGAAGACCCTTTTTCTTCTATTTTCTCCATAAATCCTTGTGAAATGACGAATATATTCTCTTAAATAAATTTTAAAAAAAAAGAATAAAAAAATATAGAATTAATTCTCAACTGTAGTCCCAAATTTTTTAAAAAAGTGAAAACGAGTCCCAAATAAATAATTAAAAAATTAAAATTAGAAAAATAATAATTCCCTTTCTCACCCCCATTTTCCCCACCACCACCACCACCAAATTTTTCTTAACAGTAGGTAGTTAGTAATGCCTTCTGTTTACAATTTAGAATATTCATTAAAGAGACACTAATCAAGTGTACATACCAAACTGTCATATATAAGTGGGATATACGTCCTTACATTAATTGCATTATTGTTCCTAAAACATACATTTGCAACAACATGCAATAATGACTAGAGTACACTGACTTATATAATAATACTCCACAATTGCTGCTAATCATTCTCCAAATACATCTTGTGGTAAACGGATATGAACTGATATACTGACTTTATTTACACCCAGGAGTGTAGAAGTTGGCAAATACTATGAACTTGATGGATAAAGGAGAAATAGTTATGGGAGAATTTATATCACGAAGAACCGGCGACAAACTTGGGATGTCACCCCTTTCAGTGAGTTGCAGTGCCTGTCCATTCAACAACATGGTTCTGCTTTGAAGGTTCCCAGCCTCTGGAGTTAAATGATATTCTTCTCGGAATAATCTTTTATCCGACGTTTTGTCTCCGACCCACGAAAATGACCTCTTAAGACCATGTGCAAAAGACTTTTTTCTGGTATCGACTTTCTCTTTCAACTGTAGTTCTACATTGCTAGCGGATTTGGCGTCAATATTGAACGTCGTTTGATTGCTTAGATTGATCAGAAGTAAAGTTACGCCAGCCTGAAACAAGGAGAAAGCAATTAGTAGATTGATTAAGACTTCATAATATTGTCCCATACTCTTCAATCATCGTTAACAAACATGCCAGGCCGTGTTACACTGAGGTCTAAGCGCTGTCTACATCGTCAAATGTAAAAGAAAAATTCAGATGTATAGGTCCTTGACCAAGAAATAGCACAGTTATCAATAGCATAAACCCAAGGAAGGGATGACTATTTCCCGATGAACTGCGGTGAATCCCTTGGGCATCAATAGAAAAGTAAAAAAGTTGAATTGTCCTA